GCTCATCCGTAAAGTAGGAATTAGACATCTTCAACACCATCAAAAAAGCATCTAATGAATCTTCTGGAATGTGTGTTACATTATATGGTATTAATGATATTTTTATGTATTTATATATGTGTTACAAAAAAACACTTGGAGAGAAGAGGCGTGAAGAGATTTCCTACATTAGTTAATTCTCTTGTCTCAAACTCACACTTGCATACAGCAAAGAATGCTAAATTTAGGATGTAATCTCACTTTTTTCTCCCCCCACCACTGAATTGCTGGGTACCTTGTGGCTTCTTTTGCCCCTCAGACTAACCTTACACAGCTAGTTGTCTTCTTTTCATTGTGAGAAGGAAGCTGGCTGGGTTAGGATTAGCACATTGGGCCCATGTGGGACGCTGGGAAAATAGAAGCAGGCATGAGTGCTAGAACCCGGAGGTCTGCTGCTTTCCGGCCATCTAGGAGACAAACATGGTGGTGTGCAAGCAAAAAGACATCAAAACCTGAACAACATCAGGAATGATGAATGCATTTGAGGTCCCATAACAGCAGATGAAGTGGTAGAGAGTAAGAGATGGAGCTGTGGAAAACAGACATGAGCGTGAAGTACTAATGGGGGTGAATGAGTTTGGGCTAGAACATTGTTTGCCTTTTTTGAGGAACATGCTCAGTGCCTGCTTTGGCTCTTTTATATGCCAGGTAAATAAGCCATTTGGAAAGGTTCAGATCTACACTGCGGATATTTCTGAGATTCCCAAATGCAACTGTAAACCTTCTGACGAAAACCCCTGTGGTTTTGATTCCGAATGTCTAAACCGGATGTTAATGTATGAATGCCACCCACAAGTGTGTCCAGCTGGAGAGCGCTGCCAGAACCAATGCTTTACCAAGCGCCAGTACCCCGAGACGAAGATAATCAGGACTGAGGGCAAAGGCTGGGGCTTAGTCGCCAAGAGGGACATTAAAAAGGTATGGGTTAGGGGAGCTGCAGTATCTCATGGAAGGCTTGCAGCAGTGGCTCAGTTCTTCTTAGGAGGAAGAATTCCTGAGTTTCTCTTTTTTAGTTGTTTATTTCTTCTTTGGATTTATATCCCACCTTTCTGTTTTGGTGTGCATGCAAAAGATAAAATAAGGATAATATAAAAATTTACATTTTAGTTATGATTCTTTTATGATTCAATTAGTATTGATTCTTCTGTTTAATTTCCTGTAGGTCCTGAGTGAGCAGTCGTTGGGTGGGGGACCTTATATTTTGCATGCATGCTTGGGAAGAGAAATAGAGGAGTGCAAAAAGCATTGGGTTTTCCATAACTCCAGAGGGTAAAGGTCACAAGAGCAGCTTAACGATAGGCAAGGCATAGATGTGGCTGAGCCAGGAATTTCTACATTTCTTCTTTGGGTGGAATCTTCGTTTCTTTCTTTTTATATTGTGATTTTATATTGCAATCCTATATCCACTTATCTACTGTAAATATAATAAGGCTTCTACAGGTAGTCCTTGTTTAGCAACCACAATTGGGACTGGCAACTTGGTTGTAAAGCAAAGCGGTCGCTAAGTGAAACCACAGCTGGACTTATGATCTGACTTCAGCTTTCCTTTGCTTTACAGACCTGCGAAGGTCATAAATTCGAGGACTGGTCACAAAGTTTCTTTCTCATCACCATCTTAACTGCAAACGGTCGCTAAATGAGGCAGTCAGTAAACAAGGGCTACCTGTACTGGGGATTGGCAATACATCCAGCAACATAGCTGTCATAACACCATGAAAGGGATACTCGCTGATCCCCAAAATACATTTTAAAAAATATGTATTAAAATCTTGCAATAGTATGGAGATAGACATCTCATCCAATTATCTGTCTGTCTGCACATGTGCTGATTTCTGGGTTTATATTACAGTTTCATGTATTTCTTGCTTCCTAATGGCAGGAAATGGTATCGCTGATTATCAGCAGCCTGAACATTGACATTCAGTGACATTCAGTGATTGAGGAGTGCTGGAGTATCCCCAGCTCCCTAAGGTGCAAGTTTGCCATGCCTGTTGTTGAAAGTTGTAGGCTGCTGCAAATGCTGGATGGTGTAGCAGCATCAGCCCATAAATGTCTTTAGGGAATTGTAGCTAGGTCCATTTTGTTTTCTATTTACAAGGTAAAAAGGAAATATTTTACCAAATGCTGGAGATCTGATCCCTGGCTTTGATAGCCTGTTTTTAGACTTCTGCAGGGATGCTGTGATTCAAAATGTATATATCATAAAAGACCAAGGAAAAAGTACATTGAGCAGAGGCCAAAATATGCAGCCTTTGGGATTAGATTTAATTATATCAACTGAAAAATTGGCCAGATCAATGGTTGTGCATACCCACTAAGTCAAGGCAGATTTTGCATAGTTTGAGCAGTCATGCTTTTCTGTTCTTCAGGGTGAGTTCGTGAATGAGTATGTTGGTGAGGTAATTGATGAAGGAGAATGTATGGCAAGAATCAAATATGCTCATGAAAATGACATCACACACTTTTACATGCTTACGATTGATAAGGTACAGTATTTTTACATGGCTCAAGTTGGCACCCATATTTGACCTTAATACTGGTATTTATAAACTTGCTTTTTAGTCAGCAATAGCAACATTCTCATTCTGTGCTATTCTTCTCTCAGTGAACAAAACTACCACAAAAAGAGTATGAATAAACCTATTTATCAATACCTCCTTGGCTTAAGAATGAGTTTGAATGTCCATGTAGAAATTGGGAGAACAGGAAGTGCTAATATTTCCGTGACACCTAATTTTCTATTATGATTGCTACTGTATCCACTTATCTAGGTCTAAGTCCTATTATATGTAATGGTGTTCACTTTTATGTAGATGTGTGTTGGATTACACTCTGAATATAATCTGAACTGAGGAATAGAAGCTTGTGTTATATTGTAGCTCTGCGTCTTTCATCTAACAATGCTTTTGTCAGAAAGAGCTGAAGCTTCAACTTCATTGAACATGTTCACCTACTTTGTAACCTCTGGCTCTTAGACTAGGACAGAATAGTTGCTGAATGGTCTAATACATTGTTTCTCAACCTTGGCAGCTTGTAGATGTGTGGACTTACTAACCCTAACTCCCAGAATTCCCCAGCCAGCATGCTCTTCAAGCTACCAACGTTGAGAAACACTGGTCTAATAACTGAGGAGAATCTCAACATCTGCATAAAAAGTTTTGTTTGTTACCCATTCATATTCCAAGGGCTGGAAATGCTTAATAGCAGTATCTCTCCCCTCCCTGCTTTTCAAGAGAGGGCTATTGGGGTTTGTTTTTTAAAAAACCCAGTTCTGGCATTTTTCCATTGAAGATGCAAAAAATTTTATCTCTGTAAATTCATCTCAAAACAGGTAGCCAAAGATCTGTTTAGAAAGCATACCTTCTTTTCCCAAGCAAAACTGAAGAATAATTATATTTCTGACACATTTTTGTATATTTTCCAGGTATCTTATTTAGCTATGTGGTGTGATATTACCGTAAGGCAAAATTAGTCAAGTCAGAACTGTGTTTAACTGTAGAATTCTAAATTTCTCGTGAAGGGTGAGAGAGCATAATAAAATTACAACTGACAGATTTGATTTCGACTGAATAACCACCTGTGTGACTAGGTCTCTGTTTCTGTCAGAGCAACCATGTTAAAATGGTACTGGTGTTAATCAGATTTTTTATTGAATCCCTTGACTTCCAGGACCGCATAATTGATGCTGGACCAAAAGGGAACTATTCTCGCTTTATGAATCACAGCTGCCAACCAAACTGTGAGACCCTGAAATGGACGGTACATGGCGACACCCGCGTAGGATTGTTTGCAGTGTGTGACATTCCTGCAGGTACGGATGACTGAGCAGCTCCCATACCATGAAAGCCTTTTAAAAAAAAAAAAGCCTTAAAACCTGTTCAGAACAGTTTCTTATATTGACTGTGATGTAGCTGAAAAGTCCTTAAAACTAAAAGTGTGCGCTTAACTTACCATCTTAATGAAGCAGAACAACCGCCATGAAAAACAGATAAACAATGATTTCATTTAACAAAGTGCCAATTTACATAAAACTTCGTTACAGAAAATGCGGGCTTTTTTCCAAGCTGATCTTGTCAGTCGGCCAAAATGTAACAGTTTCCCTCTGCAATCCAGTCTTCCAAGTGATGTTTGGAAGTCTCAAAAGTCAGGCAGCCACCAAATGGCCTCTCAGTATTAACTCTGACCCCGTTTTTTGTTTGTGATGGCTTCGTGGGCTTTGCTATCACCAGTTATTCAAACTCGTTAACTCTCTCCCTGTGGAAATACCAATTTCACGAATATTGAGACCCTTAATAACAAAAAGAAAACAACAGCACCCACAACTGTCTGCTATCCTAATTTTGGTTTCCTTTCTGGGGAGCTGCTGACGTACTTCAGGTTCAAAGCTCTGAACTGGGTATGCATGATTCCTTTGCTCAAATGTCTCTTTGTCCAGAATTTCCAACAGTATTTGCTAGGTCTTGGTGTAAAACCGTAATGTGTAGCCATGAGTTATCTAATTGTGCTGTTCATAACAGCTACATGTATGTGTTTAAATATTATCCCCTACAATACAATTTTAAAACAGTAGAATCTTGCCTAGACATAAAGTCTTCTTTAATTAAAATTGCATGAATATTGGTTTGAAGTTATTACTCTGTTAAGGCAATTTCATCTTTCAGTTTCAGAAAATAACCAGCTTAGCTTCTCTTTTAAACCAGCAAAACAGAATGACCTTTGCAGAAGTGCATTTCGGGATCATCCTTGTTTTGAAAGGAACTTATTTCTGCCTTTCTGCAGGTGTTCTGTGCTGCACACAATGGACATCCGAGTCCTCCAAGGCTTTTAATTTAATGTAGTGCTGAGAATGATTCTGCTTATATAAATGTACCTTTGGGGCCATAGTGGGTGGGAACCTGTTTTGCAAAAAACATCTCACAACAAACTTCATTGGTAGCTAGTGAGGAGGTAGCACAAAATGGCACCAGACCGTAACAACTTAGAACGGTTAAAAAATGCATCAAGTGTCTAAATCTTTTCTCTTTCCCCTAAAACATTTGCAATGTTGGATTTGTATCTGGAGCTAGATCCAAGCAAGATCCTTCATCTGCTCCTCTGGACAGTTCATCTTAGTGTGCCAGGGATATTGCTCTCTCCAAATTAAAAAACGTTTTCTGGGAAATACCCCCAAGTGGGCGATGAGCTATCAGATTGACTCTCAACAGACTGTTGGGGGCCTGGCAAAAACAAGACACCAAAAGATCCTCCAAGTCAACTAGATGTCACTCCCTCAAAAAGAAAAATATATATTTAATTTGGTTAAATAGACTAGCTTTTGCAAACAGATTGTGTTTCAGTCCATAAAATATCAGGCACGAGTTGGCAAGATGGGGTACTGTTGAGCCGATTTCTCTACTGTCAGTATTAACATGTTGAGATTTAGGGCCCATTGAGCAGCTGACAAAATAGATTTCCAGAATGAGAATTGTATTAACTTTCAAACAGGCTTGCATTCCTCTTTCTCTCCTACAAAGGGGGGGGGGGGAGGATATCACTATTTCAGATTACATCAGCTTGGGTTTTCTGTGACAATGAAGTTGGCCACTATTTGGCCTAAAGAGCCTAAGAATAGAATAAGTACAGAAGCAGTGCCGTGCTGGTTCAGACCCCTGACCCATCTAGTCCAGCAGTCTGTTCTCCTAGTGGCTAACAAAATTGCACAAGGACGACCATTAGTCTCCAAGCAGATGGATTTCAGAGGCTTTCACCCTGCCACGAAGGCTAATAGCCATTGATCCCCATGAATTGATCCAACCCTTGTTTGAAACCAGCCAAGCTGATAGCCAGCACTACGTCTCTTGAAGTTTCACAGCTACAAGTTACACATTCAAAGAGCTGGCATCACTTCCGTGTTCATCAAGCATATAGACAGACAAATAATAAGAAAAGGCATCATGTGGAATATCACATCCAAAGAGGGTTTAGTTATTCTTCCGGCCACAAGCAGTGGTTACTTCAAGGTGGGAACAACTTATATCTACTTTACTTGCTGAGTCGATACCTACTGAAAGCAGTTGTAAACCAGGGAAGGACAGAGAATTATTTCTAGCATTCCAAGTGAAGAGAAATCAGGACTCCTGAATGAAGTGCTCATTTAAGGCTTTCAAGCAGCACCCAACTGGTCGTCAGAAAGAGTTCAGAACCAATGTCAGTTTAGAAATTAGGATGACAGAGTGCCGGTTTCAGCCAGGCTGGGAAGCCAGACATTGGTCTGCACCGGAGCTTTATTTAATAAGTTGCTCCTAATCAATTCAGTTGTGAGATGTTGAGCCCATACAGAGTGTGAAACTAAAGTCAACCAGGATTTCAGTCCCTATCTCATCTCTTTGACAATTCATCCTGGTCACTGGCCCATGGTGCTTGGTCTGAGCTTTAACCACATAGTCCTGATTCAGCTAAACATGCAGGAAATGGCACACTCACACATCTTAAAGTTTGCTGAAGGTCTGCTCATGGATGTTCCAGAAAACTTGCCATCTGTCCACCCGAGAACCCTATGTCAAGGTATTTTAAGGAAGTATATATAAGCAAGTTGATTGTCCTTCGTGGAAGTGTCACGAGGCATTGCTGAATGAATGGACATTTGTTCAGTGAATTTGAAATCTCATTTTGATATTTCGGTGTTTGACCCAATACTGCGTCAGGAGATTTGGGCTGGGAGAGATAAACTAAGTGGCTTTACTGAAAGCCAAAAAGTAAACATAGGCTGTTTGGAGAGGCAGGGTCTCTTGGTATCTTCAGTGCTGATGGCCATGACACCAATGGATATGAGGAGAGATCACATGCATTACTTACCAATTACAGGTTGATAAAAAAGAGGGTTACAGACAAATAATTGCTTTAAGTACTTGAATTTAAGTTTCCAAGCATCATCAGGGAGGAGACATACTCCAAAGACATCTGATATATACAGAGAAACTCTGCACGTACCATCTTTCTAGTCTATCAGCTAAAGGTCCAGCTGTTGCAGGTCCAAATAGGCCTGAATTATCTTTATAATAGCTCAATTTAATACCTTTCTTCAATGCTAGCAAAAGGGAGCTATCAGAATTTATCGCATGACTACTGAGATGAATATAGTGACCTCTGCTTCTTCTATTTTGTCTGTTCTTTGAGAAATTTATGTCCATCTTAAAGAGATTTCAGGCAGAAGATCTGGATTCTGTATTTCTTATCTTTCATTAACCAACCTTTAGGCATTTCCAGTAGCATTACGAACTTTTGTGCCATTGCTTGTCACGTTTCATCTGCGGGTTAGTACAGTTTCAAATGTCCTCTTTTAACTTTGTTTTAGTTTTTAGGAAGCATTTGTGTGTCCACGTGTACATCTGCCTCTTTTTTGATAGTGTGAGAGTGTATCTTTGGTTCCCTTCCCTTGCTGTCTTGTACCACAGTCACCCTGAGGTGAAACGGGAGCATCTTTTGGAAAATGTGCCAATGTTCCTGTTTTAATGATGGTTACAATAATAGTTTCCTCTTGTTTTCCCCTCAGGAACAGAACTAACCTTTAATTACAATCTTGATTGTCTGGGCAATGAAAAAACAGTGTGTAAATGTGGTGCTCCAAACTGTAGTGGCTTTCTGGGAGACAGACCAAAGGTATGTATGAGTACGTAAAGAGTCAAATGTATTGCTTGATAGATTTCTCTGCTCCCCCAAATTATACCATAAGGATGGCCTGTGACTTCAGTATAAATTTCAGTATAAACAACTAACTCTATGCCATAGAGTTAGCACCATAGCCAAAACAACTTTATCAAGAATCTGCTGAACACTCTGTAACCCTGAAATACATCTTGAGAATGCTTGTATATACAGTGGGGCAAAAAAGTATTTAGTCAGCCACCAATTGTGCAACTTCTCCCACTTAA